CAGAGGATAAAGGAACTAGAGCTTCAAACAGAATAACTCTGAGTTCTGAAACTAACCTAAAGAGATGGTCACGTGATTGATAAGATTGATAGATTGGTATAGCTATCTATCAGACGTTACCAAGTCTACCAGGTGGTAGATTGGTAGACTGGTATGACTATATATCATAAGCTGTCAGATCTATCAAGAGGTTTCCATCATGTATATAAACATGCTCATTACCTCTAGAATCAAAAGGTCTATCTTCTTGATTATGATCAATTTTATATTCTCAATTCATCTACCTGATCTCTACTTCACTCTACTCACATTGTGTCTGTGTTTATCTGATACATCTCCACTTCTATACTTGTCATAGCTTTGATCATCTAACTCTACACCCTTTCAGGTGCCTGTCTCACTCAAGCTCTACACACATCTGACCCCCTAGCCATAGCTATCATTGGTTATAAGGATTCTCTAATTGACATTCTTACTACTTGTGATAGTAGCACTACCCCCTGTCCTAGTTATCAAGCTTATGGCACTCCTGTTCGGCTTAATCTTACCCTTCAGCTACAGGTGAAGCTTGCTAGTGATAGAGGCTCGGTAGCAGCTAAGGTCAGTATCTATGAAAAAGAAGAGCAACTGTGATATCAAAACTCTCTATACTAGCTTTTTATTCTCATACTGCTTATTTCATATTGCTTATCTTATATTACTTATCATACTACTTATTAAAGCACTTATCTATATATTGTTTATCAAAGTACTTTAGAATCAGTATCTTTTAAATAATCAATATCATTTCTAAATTTAATATTTCAGATAAGCACAGATTAGTACTTCTCAAAAATCAGTTCTTTAGTATTAGCACTTTCTGAAGAATAGAATCAGCATTTCATGAAAATTTAAATTACTATATTGTTAATTTCTTATTTCATAAAAGATTAAAGATAAAATTTATTACTACTTATATATATAAACATTCTAAATTCTCAAAGTTTCTTCAAAAGATTCAGTGATTAGCTACTATTCAATTCTATATATATATTTTATTCATCACTATTCTCTTTCCTTCATAGAACTCACAGTGTATATATATCTACTCTATTACAATTCTAGTTATAGAGCTTCTTATACTTTCTTTTAATACTTAGTTTATTCATTTTAATATTTTTACAGTCTATATCTATGTCTATATCTATGTCTATATTCATGTCTATATTTGTATAACTTTTTCAATGATTGTGATTATACTGAGTACTTAAAATTTTTATTAATTTTTATCTTTTTTATCTTTATTTTAAAAGTTTCTCTTGCTATCATTTATCAGAAATTTGATAGTACTATTAAAAAACTTTATCAAATCAATAACTTCTAATTATAATCTTAATTCTAATTTATCTGAAGCTCTTTCTACTAGATTTCAATTAAATCCCTAGTAGTCTATATTATTAAGTTAAATATATTCTCAAAATTAACTGAATTCTTTAAAGATATCTCAATTCTACTAAGGTTTCTATATCAATTTACAATTATCTAATTAAGTAATTAATTTTTTTTTATATATATAAGAAATTTTTATATATTTTTCTGCAATTAACTTCTAATTTCTTCTATTTATTATTATTATACATTTCTCAACTGATCATATTGAGTGTCTGAATCACTCTAATTACTTGACAGTTCAGCTCACTTTGATAATCTGACTTACTTTAATCACTTTGATTACTCTGATTATTATGAATATTATGACTCTATAAATTTTAATTAAATTCAAATTAATATTATTAATCTTTCAGATGATTTTCTATCATATACTTTGTTAATTCCACTCTCTCAACAGGAAAAATTCTATCAAAAAAAGTATTACATATACTGTGAATCTCATAATTATTAAGTTAAAAATTATCATTTTTATTTACATTTATTTAAGCTCTATTACTGTCAAACTGCTAAAAGAATCTTAGCCTCTAAGTAAAAATTCAATGATAACTCTAATGTTAGTGAGGTATGAAAGAAAATCTATAAAAATCTGATAAATAATGATCAAAGCATTTAATCTACTGATAAACTTGATAAATTTTCATTTTACTTTTTTCTTGTTTCTAATATAACTACTTAATGACAAGCACTTTTTTAAATTACAAAGTAATATTATAGTATAGCTGCTTGTATATAAATTAAGATTAATTCATCTTACTATGCTTTAAAGATTGATCTATTTTAATCTCAATTATATTCAATTGTTTATATTGATTTAATTTAATTCTTAATTATATCTGCTATAAAAATTAATCTGATCTGATTCTCAACTACTTCTATATATTTAACTACTTATTTATTCTTTATTTTAATTCTCAGTTTAGTATTCTTATTGTATATATTTAATTATATAAATAAATTGAAACTATTGTCTTGTTATCATTCTGACTCTAGTTAAGCTATAATAATAGTTACTCTCAGCTTAATTTTTATTTAAAGATATAAATTTTACCTTTAGATATTGAAAAGTTATAAATAAATATGAAAATTATAATTTTTAAACTATAAATCTTTTAATTTTTTAGTAATTTGAAGATAATCTTCTATATGAGATATAATATAGTATTGAACAAGATTTTTTTATATAGTTACTGTAAGATAGAAATCTTTATTTAATGATTTCAGAGAATCATATATAGTTATATTCAAAGATTGAAAAATTTTTATATAAATAAATTTATTTTTTTATTTCAAAGCTTAATTTTAAAAGAAATTATGATAAAAGATGCTGTTTACTATTTATTGAAAATATTTTTTATTTAAATCAAATTAGTATTTATAAAAATAAAACTTTATTATTTTAGAAAATTAACTTCAGTGAGAATGATTGTATACTTTTCTTTCAATTTAATTTTTACATCTTTGTAAAATTTATCAACTTTATCTTTAATAGAATTCTTAATAGTATTTAATAAAAAAATTTGAGTTTTTTTCTAGTCTTTGTATGAGTATTTCTATATGTCTATTTTGTCTTTTTATATATTTCATCATTATTCATATTATATTTATATTACTTTCAATTGTATTTATTTCATTTATTTGATCAATTTCTTCTCTATATTTAGAGATAGATATATTATATTCATCTCTATTCATGTTGTTACTTGCAGAGATATTCAATGATTCTGCAACTTATGTTCTTGAAGATATCTGTTTATCTTTTTTTAATTCAATCTGTTTCTCATAATTAAAACTTTTAAAATAATTACTTTTTATAAGATTCTTACTACAATTCAGTAATATAGTTCACATGATATATTTTATACCTCAGATAAAAGAAGAAGAAGAAATAGAATGCAAAAGTAGTGTACAGAAAACTCTTCAAAAAGAAAAACAAGCTATCTGAGTCATAACTTGTAGGATGTTCTAAATGTCAGGTCTATCCGCCTTTTTAAGTAATCCACACTGTATATAACTTCCGCGTAGCTAGTGATTGCTACATAATCAATCAAGCAATCTATCTTTCACAGGTTATGAGACCTATTTTGCACAAATAACTGCCAATTCAGAGAATTCTTGTCAAATATAGTATATATTAATTGCTACTTGCTTCATTCAATATAATATTATCTTATTTTATATCAATTGATTGATTTGATACACTCTTATATTATTATTATTTTTTCTGTATTCAATTCATTCACTTAGCAGGTGAAAGAAAAATCTGCAACTTGCTAATTTTTCAGTGACTGATCACACAAGAACATGTCAATCTGCTCAATCAAGCTTATAGATAAGAATCTCACCAAATAAGATTACTCTGTTATAAAGAAGATTAATACAACATGACAGAATGTATGATGACTCACTTACAGTCACAATTGAGTCAATTCAGTCAATCTGACTGATCTGAAAATGATCAGGTGGCTCTGAGCTCATCAACCCCCTCAGAAGTGTTCAAAAGTTCCAGGATTAGACTCTTCAAAACACTCAGTCAGCAACCCAAGCTGATTACAGCCCCTATCACAGTGAGGCTGGTCTACCTACATTGTGTTGAATATGTTAATTCAACTTCTTCAAAAGACAAGGTGAAGATGCCTGCAGTGATCTTTAACTCACTGCTGGCAACTGACTCTGAAGAATTGCAACTGAGGAGGTTGAATCTTGAATGTCAAAAGATTGATTTAGAACTTCAAAAAGAGAGGTGCAAAGAATTGCAGCTTCAACTTCAATTAAAGAGGCTCTGTGCTCAGAATGACAGAGCCACAATGTCTGCAAATTCACTGATGGGTTGACCATCAGCATGAGATCTGAACTTGAGGTCCTGAATGTAATATAATCTCTATGATCTAGATAGCTGCGTCAGCAAGGTGATCAGTCAGTTCAAACAGAATACTAAGTATGCCACCAAGCTGAATGCTCTGGTTGAATCTTTGAATTACCTCTTCTGGCATGTGAATATGAAGGCCAAGCTAATTGATGCTCAATGCTAGGTTATATTGAAGGACAAGCAAGTCAAAAGCCCTGATGAAGACTCTGAATGAGCTCCTTTTTGAGAGGCCAAAAATTACTGGCTTTACACATTCATTTTGAATACATTGACAGCCAGCATTAAGCCCTATTTTAATAAGTATGATGAGGGCAGAATCACTTATTCTCTTTGACATGCAGTTGAGAAGAAGTTCTTCATTTCAAGAACACAGCTCTGCAGAGAAGCAGTCCTGGTATTTACATCAATGAGTAGTGTCCAAGTTACTGATATACACATATTTTTCAATAAGTTCAATGACATTATTATGAAATTGGAAATACTTGATATTTTACTGTCAAATGATGTGGTATTCCATGTGTTCTATTCTGCACTTCTCAATATATGATGAAACTATGTGCAAAAGAAAATTGAGGAGGTACAAGAGTCTAAATCAAAGTCTGTTGTGTTGGACATTCATTCAATCATGAAGGAGATACACTCTTGATTAAATCTCCTTAAAGAGGCCAAGAAGGTTATCCAGGCAGTTAATTCTTCAGCTAACATGGCTCAGGCTGAAAACATGGCTGTGGGTTCCAATAATAGCAGCAATATTTAAAATAATTTGGCCCATGAGGGCTGACCCAGGGGACATAAAGACTATCAAATGGGTAGATATTCAAATTCTGATCTTTCAATCTGCCTAGAATGTGAATATCATCATGATGGGCTCTGCTGGGCAGCCAATCCAGATAGCACTCCTGAAGAATGAAGGACCACCAACATGGTGAGAATAGAGAAATATAATAATAAGAAGAGTAGTGGGGGCAAAAAGACTTCATCAACTGCAAATGACAGCTCTGAGACATTTCAAATGGTGAATTTAGTGCAGATCATTGAGATGCTTGTGTACTCTGCTGAACCAATCATCAACCCACTCACTATATGAGATAGCAGGGTCAGATGTCATATTGCAGGTGATCAATCATGATTTTCCTGAATAATAGAGGTTAGCAGCTTTATGATTCAAGTGGCCAATAAGGCTACTTTGAAGGTTCAAGGGATTGAAATCACCTCCATCCCAGTTAGGGAAAGATTAATCAAATTTGATCACATCTATTTGATGCCAAGCTTATCTGCCAACCTCATATCTGCTGGCCTATTAGAGCATCAGGGCTATATTCACTGTGATCTGCAGGTGGACGCTGGAAATTACTTTGAGATAATAGTATAAGGGGTTGAACTCCTAGATTTGCTCTAGCTGGCTGACTCAGCCTAGCCATCGTTCATATGTGCGCACATGATCATGCTACGCGAGCTTGCTTAAGCTCGAGTTCTCATCTCATTCTTTTCTTCCCTTTCTCAAGCAATTCGTCCTTGTTATATAAGAGGACTAGCCTCTAATTCTTAGAGCTTAACCCTTTACAAATAGCACTTACAGGAAATGACATCTTCTATGTAAATTTGAATCCCAATAATATATATGTTCTATCTGACATCTCTACTATGTTTGAGAGTATTATGAATGATCTGGAGCTTGGACCACTGGCATACTTGATGATCTCAAAGCCCAGGATGATATCAACAGATTATGATCTGAATACTGCATCACTGAGTCTTTTCAATCATGATGATGTGGAGCAGCTAATTAATCTGAAGAATCTGAATACTGATACCTTCATTTTGTCCTCATCAATCTGACTACCTATCATTATGCTGAAGCAGCTACTGATTGATGAGTGGCACTGGCAATTGAGTCATATTGATGAGAAAAATCTAATTAAAATGTTGTGGGAGCTCTGTTTTGAAATTGTCATCATCAGCTGAAAGAAGCTCTCATTCTACACTACATATGTTAAAGCCAAGCATAAATGTGCAAGTTATAAAAATGCTCCACTACACCATGTCACCTGCAAAGATCTTAAGATCTGGGTGGACCTATTTGGGGGTGGAGAAATGCTTGATAATGAAGAAGATACACCATCTTATGCAGGTAAGAAGCTCATGATGATGATCACTGATGATGCCACACAAATGCAGTGAACTTTTCTATTGAAGCACTGCAATAAGGCTCTAAAATATATATAGACCTTCAACCAATTTATAAAGAATCTGCTCAATTGTGGTGTTGTGATTATTCACTCTGACTGCAGCAAGTTGAATTCAAACACCACAGCTATCTATATGATGAGTGAGGGTATTAAATGAGAATCAACCCCACCTCACACTTCACAGCAAGATGCTGTGTCCAAATATTCTATTGGTCTGATTATTGAAAAAGCTTGAATGTTATTAATAGATTCCTCCTCCTCCCCTCAGATGTGGGGTAAGGTGGTAATTGCAGTGACTGAAATACTTAATCTTATATTAACATCAATCAAGCTCTATAATGATGTAGAGGATTCAGATCTGAAGTCAGTTACCTTATATGAAGCTTGGCTCAGGGCCCTGCCCTCTGCATATGGGATTCACTGATGGAGGTGCAAGGCTTATTTAAAAATAGTGCCCAAGCTGAATATGAAGATGGCCTCATGATTGCAGAAGCTTATATTTACAGGCTATGATGACTTTACTAATTATAAATTGGTTGATCCTTCTAATGATCACCTTTACACATCAAAAGATGTAATATTTCAAGAAGATCTCCATTTGATAGATTCTCTGGCTCTGCTTGAGCAAGGTGTCAAGAACCTGCCTTCTACTGCTTGTGTGGCTGCAGTTGCAATCCCCTCTACTCAATATGATTTATCAACAGATAATTTCATAATGAATGAGGAGTTTCTATCTGCCCCTTCAGTATTTCTACACTCTACAAATAATTGATGAATAGACTATGAGATTACTGCATGAATTCTGACATTTTTGATGCAGAACACTACTGTCCTCCCAGGATCTGCTTTTGAGATGAAGGATTCTTCAATGCTCACTGAGAATATTACTTCAGTGAGAGAGGCCTCAGTGAGAAATTTCACTGACAATTTGACTGACATTTCTGCAGACTCTGAGATCACCAGCTTGCTAGTTTCAAAGAATCTCACCTGGGCTCAGGCGTCTGCAGATTGGAAATATTACTTTCATGTCTGTGTTAAGGAGATTAACCACTTTAAGTAGATTAGTGCATGATGGCTAGTTGAAAGAACCTCAGTTATGATGATTCTACATGGCCAATGGGTGTTCAACAAAAAGATTAATAATGCAGGTAGAATTGAATGATATAAGGCTCACTGGGTAGTATGCAGTAATTATCAAGAAAAGAATGTCAACTATTCAAAGACATTCACATCAGTTGTATTAACCTTCACCTCCTGAGCACTTCTGACAATCTTGATATTCTGAGAATGGCATGTTCTGCAGATTGACATGGTTACAGCATTCTTAAATGCCCAGCTTCCCACCAATGAACATATATATATGCACTAACCCACCAGGTTCTGTGAGGGATGTGGTGATCTGGTATTTGAATTGATGCAGAGACTATATAGTCTGAAGCAAGCAGCACTATTATGATATGAGAAGCTGTGAAAAATGCCATTGGAAACAGACTTCCATATCAGTTCTCATGATGCTGGTTTTTTCATAAATGACATCTGCAAGATCTATATAATCATTTACATAGACAATGTTCACCTATATGGTCTGAATATATCAGATATTGAATGGACAAAAGCCCAGATCACTGCTAATTATGAGATCAAGAATGTGAATGAATCAAACTAGTATTTGAAAATGAAGATTGATTGAGATGTCAAATCTTTATCACTGTCCCAGCCACTATTCATAAAGAACCTGCTTGAAGAATTCTCAATGAATGACTGCCACTCAACATCCTCCTCTATGAAGGAGAATGTTGATTTTATGAGTGATAATGAAGAACTGATTACTTATACAGTGGAATTTACATTACATTTCTATCAATCAGAGGTTGACTCTCTGCAATATCTCACTGCTAACACACATTCTGATATAAGCTTTGCTGCTGACTTTCTAGAAAGATTCAGCTTCTGCTCTATCTCAAAAAATTGAGCAGCATTCAAGTGAATTCTTAGATATTTACAAGGTACACCTGACATAGGTGTGTCCTACTGAAAAGACACAGATATAGAATCTGTGATGTTCACTGATGCTGATTGAGTGAGCTGTGATCCAGGTTCTTGCTTCATCATTGAATATGTCATTTATATGACAAGGGGTTCTGTTGCTTGGTAAAGCAGCAAGCAGACAGGTGTTTCAAAATCATCTACTGAGGCTGAATATATTGCATCCTTAGAGGCTGTCTATGAGCTTGTCTGCCTCTGGGAATTGCTGGAGGATGCTGACCTCATGTTGTCCAGACTCAATAATCTTGATGATAATGACAGCTCAATCAAATCACTGGTCAATAAGCTAATATATAAAATTTGAGTGAATAATAAATTGATGATTGAACTGATCAAAAGTGAGGCTATTCTGCACCATTCTAAGCATATAGAGATCTGCTTCCATACTCTTTGAGATCTTGTCTGTAAGAATAAGATCTTGATTGATTACATTCTGTTCACTGAGAACACAGCAGACAGACTGATCAAGCCACTTGAGACAACTAGATACACTCTATGACAGCAGATATTAGAAGACACAGTAAATGGACAGAAATGATTATATGAAGAAAATGACTGATTTTTCAACAATATGGATTTTCCAGTCAAATTATATACTGATATCTAGCTACAAGCTATTTTTTATATGTAATCTTGAGTACAGTTACATCAGTGAGTGGGGGTGTCAGGTCTATTCACCTTCTTATATAATCTACACTGTATATAACTTCCGCGTAGCTAGTGATTGCTATATAATCAATCAAGCAATCTATCCTTCACACTAAAGTGGTTGTATTTGATAGCTATCTCAGAGATGCTATATACTACTGTGCGGTACACTAGTCCATAATAGGAAGTCTAGACTTCAACACATAGGGGTCACATAATATTTCTAACAGAGCGTAATCATATGATCCAGGCCAATTTTTCCCCTGTCTTGAGAAGTTTGCTTACTACCCGGGCTATCCTTGAACAACACAGATTGACACATTTGAGATTAAAAAATATCTTAATCAATTCTGATCATATTTCTATAAGCTCTCTCTCATTCTCTCAGACAGCAAGTCTGATGATGTGCTGATGCAGCATCATCAGTGTGCTCAACCTCTCAACAACACTGAATATGTCCTGAGCCTTGACACACATCTGCTCCCCCATACACTGTTCACTCAAGAGACCTCATCTCCTCATCTCAATCATCTGCTGCACATATGAACTGAATGATATGAAGTCTTTAAGCTCTTCTACATCAGCAGGCAGCTCAAAGAGCAGAAATGTTGCATCAATACATCTCAATCTACATGATCTGATGACTAGTGATCTTCTAGTCACTCATGAGACTGAGACACAGAAATCTCATACAGAAGCACTAGCTGCTGCAAATATGCTTGATCAGATTGAAGAAGACTTAGAGGTCATGAAGACAAAAGATCTATCAAGAACACTGACTTTTGAAGTCACTGTGAAGGCACTAGTCAAGAACTGATACAATGAAAGTTTAGAAATAGTTAAGCAGTTCACTACAATCAAGTCTGCTGACTTCACTGATGCAAATGATGCAAGAGCTTCTATCTACACAAAGACAGCTGCAGACAGTATCAATGTAATAAAAATATCAGTAATCATACTACAGAAACTCCTGCTTAGAAATAATCTCAGAGAAGAAAAAACATCACAAATTCTTATATGTCTGTCTTCAGATCATCTAACTCACA